TCTTTCCCTGGTCCGAGCCTGGACAATATCAAAAAGGATCCGGATGGCATAAGCAAACCGCCGACGCCAAGCAAACACTCTATACCGCCGACGAGTCAGATACCATCAATACAGCCGGTCGCGGCGTCGCCGACGGCTACGCCAACACCAACTCCGAGTCTACCACCACCGCCTAGTTCAATCCCACAACCAGTGATGCATCCCGCGCAGCAGCCAAGTCCGCACATGGCACATCCCTTCCATCCACATCATCCGCTGATGCATCATTCGATATTCACCGCCATGCATCCGTATCATCCTCACGCCTATCCAGGATATGCGCCAGTGGGAGGATATCCGTCCTTCACGCCATATCCTTACGGTCCAGTACCTCATGCCATTCCACCACCCTCACCTCAGCGTAGCCAAGAAAGCAGCAGCACCATGATGACGGCGCATCATGCTAGCACTAGCTCGAGCGTTGCAAGCAGAGAGGAAGGCGAGAACCTGATTGCGAGTCATCACCATTCATCCAGTATGCATCAGCAGCCAACCAATTTACATCACGACAAACTACTGACTATCTCCTCTCACAGTTCCCACAGCCATTCCTCATCACACAGCTCACACAGTAGTCAACGCAAATCATCGCTTGTCTCAGCTACGTGCCTGACGTCATCCAGTTCCGCACACCATCATCATCGTCCACCACAATCGCAACAACCACAGGTTGTTCAAGAGCCAAAGATCGAGCAAGACTTGGATCCGGAACCGGAGGAGCCCATTAGTCCACGTGGACCATCGCCGGAACCGCGTATCGAGGATTCCGAATGCCACCGATCGCAATCAGCGATTTTCCTGAGGCATTGGAATCGCGGTGAGAATAACTCGTGTACGCGCACCGATCTGATGTTCAAGCCCGTACCAGATTCGAAACTTGCGCGGAAACGCGAGGAGCGCTCGCGGAAGCAAGCGGAACGGGAACGAGAGGAGCGCGATCGCGCCGCCGCTGCGGCGCAACAGGCCCGAAAGATGACGACGCCCGAGAAACAGCCCGAGGCGTGTAAACCGCCAAGCCGTGGTCCTCTCGAACCTGTCGTTTCGCCTTATGACCGTTATGCCGCTCGTCCTGGTTCCTATGCAGATACTCCAGCACTCAGACAACTATCCGAATACGCTAGGCCGCACGCCGCCTTCTCCCCCGCCAGACATCCGGCACCACCCGACCCGATGCTGCACTATATTTACGGGCGTGAAGCTGCGGCGCAGCGGTTAGAATTGGAGCATCTAGAGCGTGAGAAGAGGGAACGCGAGATACGTGAGCTACGCGAGAGAGAATTAAACGATCGATTGAAGGAAGAGCTGTTCAAGGGTACACCCAGACCGATGCCAGCGCCGCCAGTTGATCCCCACTGGCTGGAGATACATCGTCGATATGCTGCTGCTGGTCTGGCACCAGGTCCTTCTGGACCGCCTCAAGCCTTACACCAATTTGGCCTCTACGGAGCTCCACCAGGTCCGAGTCAACTCGAGAGAGAACGACTCGAACGGCTAGGTAATTGTTGACAAAACTAATACTTGATATCTCGGCAGTAGAGATAGAGACTCGTCGATTAATATTCGTTCGACCGTATCACTTGTACTTTTCAAAATTCGAATTAATTTAAGAATATAGCCTAAAGGCTGATGTAATAGAATTCGGGTAGGCCGGGGAAAAAGAATAATTAGATCAAGAGCGCCAAGAGCTTTGAGGGATGCGACGTAGGTAGACTAATTGTTAAAAATTAATGGCCGATTTCTTCAGCGCCAGTTAACTCTGTTCATATAATAGCTAACCTTGGCTCTCTATATTACAATTAGCGGTATACATTTGAAAGGAGTGGTTCCTTCCTCTCTCTCAGATAATTTTATCCGAGTTAGCTGGAGATGAAGAAATCGGGCATGAGAATCGTATCTGTGATCTTCGAGTTATGTGATCGAAGCGCTGTCGCGTTTAGGGATTCCGACTGCAGCCGGCGGGGGGCCAGCGGGTGGAGCGGCTGGCCATCCCGTGGCGGCTCATCACCACGGCCAGCTGGAAGAACGGCTGGCTCTGGCCGCTGACCCGATGGTCCGATTGCAAATGGCTGGCATCTCGCCCGAATATCATGCTCACACTCACGCGCATACGCATGCGCATACGCACTTGCACTTACATCCGGGACAGCAACAGGCCCAGCAACAGGCTCAGCAACAGCAGGAAGCCGCTGCGGCTGCGGCTGGATTTCCTCTGCCGGGTAGGTCCTAACACAACCAGGATGTTTCTTCTAAAGCTTCCTGAAGAGCTTCTCCTTTAAGAAAACGCCGCTCTTGCTTATTCCTCGTCGTTCGGCAGCCCGTGTGTTTCTCATTGATCGTCCTATGTTACCTATACTTGCCTAGGTCTAGGTCAAGACGATCCTTTTTTTCCCGTACCGTTAATCGTCAGCACGCCTGCGATTTTCCAGTTGCTCGACTCTGATCTCTGGCTAGTCGCTTATCACCGTCGCAGGTGCAAGTGCGAGTGAGTGTTGTCGAGGAATAGGCGCGAGTGTGCATGTGCGTGTGCCTGAAGATGATTAGTAACACTTTGGGAACGTAGCTTAAGGGTTTATTTTGTTAAATTCTGCGCGCGGTTTTCTCTATCTTTACAAATTACGAGAAATACGCTTTTGCTAAGCACGAGTACTCTTTCAAAATGGATATCGTACGCGCGACAATTAAACAATACGAATTAGTAATATTCTTTTGAATTAATTTTCTTTTTTTTTAATAACGCACATGATGATGTTCGTCCACAGCTGCAGCCGGCGCTAATTACCCTCGTCCCGGTTTAATGCCACGCGATCCTGCCTTAGCGCTTCATCCGGCGGAACTCCTAGGAAGACCCTACGCGGATATGGCAGCGCATCACGAACAACTACAACGGCATCTCATGATGGAGCGTGACCGATTCCCTCCGCATTCTATCATAGCTCATCACGAGGAATACATAAGGTTCGTCCCTTGAAAATCTATCACTATCACAACTTGCCTGACTTATTGCATAATGTTATGACTTAAGGCAGCACTAGTACCCGGACTAACGAAGGGTATTTTTTAGACAACAGCGTGAGCGCGAGCTTAAAGTTCGCGCACTGGAAGAAGCCGCACGTGGATCGCGTCAATAAGCACATTTTTATTTATATATATGTATATATGTACTATATATATATATATATACATATACATTATTATATACATATATATATATACGTGTGTATATTATATATATATATATGTATATATGTACTATATATATATATATTTCTTTGTTTACATTGATCTGATAGATAATAAAAATAATTTCTTAGATGATAGATTACAGAAATATCCCAATTTTTCAGAAATCGTCGATGCGCCGAAGGAACGCTCAAATGTATATATGTATGTATACATATATATATATATAATATACACACGTATATATATATATGTATATATGTACTATATATATATATATACATATACACGCGGCGAATATTGTAATTGTAATTGTTTCGCTAGTGTAAATAGTACAAGATATTTTAGCCCCAGCGCTATATCATCGGTGCTGGCATATACTTAGAGAGATTTATACAAATACAACAGATGTGCTTGATATATAAGCTATTTTCAAGTTCTCTAGATATTATATCATTAATTGCTCCTCTACGCTGTCAATGTCACCGCTCGTCGATCGCGCCTGACCTCGCGATTGGCCTTGCTTTTTCCTTTTTAATCTGATTTTAAGTGGTATACATGCCAAAGTGCTTGTACGAGGTGAAATTACACCGCGTTTTTTTATTCTTCCATATATGTATGTACATATATTTTTAAAGACATATAGGTACATAAAATATATATAAGATTCTATATATTAGGTGTAGTAAAAAGAAATCCATTATTTTTCCAATAGATGGCTAGTAATCTGTATCTCGTCTACGCGTGTCTACAGATTACTAAAGCCATCTATTGGAAAAATAATGGATTTCTTTTTACTACATATAATATTAAATTTATGTATAATTATGGATATTAAATATATTATATTATATATAATGTATATAGATTATGTATTACATAAATATGTAATATATATATAGATTATATATTGTAAAATATGTTTAATATGTATAGATTATATTGAACATATATAATAATATATATATTTTACAAGATTTATTTCTACAAATGATAAGTGCAAGTAAAAGCGAGGAAAAAAGATAAAGGTCGAACGGTATTGAAGCGAGTGGAACACTTTGTTTATTCATCTTTTTTACATATCAAACTTTTTGTTTACTCATCATTTTTACACAACAAACTTTTATTTTGTTTATTCATCTTTTTTATATATCGGAACTTTTACCTTGTTTTAATTGATTTTATATTATGTCACATCATGTAATGTGTATAAGTAAAATGAAATGTGACTATTTACGTTTACATATGTAAACTTACTATGACACAGAATTATTTCGAGCATTTTATAGTCGCCATTCGATGAACCTTCCACATCGATCTGTTTGATCGTTCATATAATCGCATAAAATGTATAATCTAAGTTCCATTATTATTTTATTAATATATCAGACACTTTTGTGCATATTTTCTATATATATATATTATTTCTATATATATATTCTTTAAGATATTCCTTTATACCGCGGGCCTTCGGTAACATAGCGTGCGGTCAACGATAATGATTAAATCCAAAACTTAATTTTGTCTTATATTAGCTGATTCTGCGTGATGTTTCTTCGACAATATCGTTGAAGTATAATCTTATGAGACCATTTGAGAAACATGTAAATTTTATGCTGTGTAACTGATTCGATGTAACCAAGTTATTTAATTGAGTAAACATTTCATACAAAAGCTTCTTCTTCTTCAATTATTCTCGCGCCTTAAATAATTATGCATTATATCGTCACCCAGCTCTGAAGTTCAATCAACAAACGACAAGATATAAATTTAGCATCTGTTTCAGCAGCGTAATTGTATAAAACAAGAGAAATCGGGAAATTGCAGACAAATGGAAGCACTTTGTAATAGAACGCTAATTAGTTTTCCAGATGGAATTTATCCTTCTCTATCATCCGGTTACTACAGTCATCCACGTTTTTATTGAGCTTAATGCGAAACGCAGCCGTCGTCCACTTTACACTCGGAATGCATCACTCGGCATATAATAGTGTGGGAAACAGGGACGAAGTTTTGAGTGCGTGTTGTATGGATTCATTCTGTTATGTATGTATTTCATTGTAAATTTAATTCCAATGCATGAGAGACGATCAAGTGTGTGTAACAAAGATCCTATTATAACTTCGACATTCACATTTTGACGTTCTTGATTTTCAATGCGAACAATTATCTTCAGAGACATATACATATATATATATATATATTTTTTTTGTAAATGTAATTTATATAATTTATTATTTTGTTTTATAATGTTTAATTCATTATTCAATTTTTTATTTTCTTCGCCGTAATTTTAGCACGTTACAGTAGAAACCGAGAAAGGAAGAGAAAGAGAAAAGGATGAAAAAGAGTGCGAGAGAGGATCTTATCCGTCCCTGATCGCACACATGTGCTGTTCATGTGCGTGTCGGATATCTGAGAGAAAGAAGGAGTAAGGGAAAAGAAACGGGAGGGCGGGGGGAGATGTTAAGTATCCGTGACACCAGAGAGATGAGGAAATTTTCATATTCCGGAGGAACGGAAAGAGGCTGTACCGGTCGCCTCATTGATGAAGATAGCGTCGTTGTGAACGGTCAGCGAAAGCGTTTCTGTAGTCACGTCCACAGCATGGCAACACGCAGGAGGGAAGAGTCGACGAAGCACCGATACCAAGCGAACGCTCGAGAAAGAGATCGCACTCTTAGGTGAAAAAGTATTTTGCGCATATAATAACGAGAACGATATAAAAAAAACGAGTGAATTATCTAAACATTATTTCTTGTTGCGCGAAGAAGTTGAAGAATTCGGAGGATAAGCGCGCGGTTCTTGTTCACGTGCGGAGTTTCTCTCGACGAACCGTTTATCTTTGGACGCTTTTTTTAATTACTTAACGTGTTTATAATAAACGAAATAGACTTGATATTAATAGAGCGATTTAGGATGCGAGAGACACTGGATGAGATCTTCTCTGAAGGTACACGATCTTCGTTGTGCAGCGTGAACACGGCTTTCAGCGCCCTGAGAACTTTGATCCCAACCGAGCCGGCTGATCGCAAGCTGTCGAAAATAGAGACCTTAAGATTGGCCAGCAGTTACATTAGCCATTTGGACGCCATACTTATTGCGGGTGCCATGGATCAACCGTGTACGCGTCTTTTAGAAAGTAGCGGCGTTTGTTCGACAAGACCACAAGTTTGCACCTTTTGCTTGGCTATGCATAAAAGATATGTAAGTCATGTAGCAGTTTGCGTACATTTTTTTTTATATTAGATAACGTTCTGCATGTAATTTAGAGCATACATATGATGTTAAATTATATATTTTTTTATGAATATCTGTAGTTATATAATATAAAAAGTAATTATTAATCTTCATGTTCGATTTGATGGATTAGTGCAGCCTTCAGAAAGCTTCTGTTGGTCTGTACTATTTTATTGTTAAACGTTAAATTGTGCGATTAACAATGCGATTTATAAAATATATATAATTATATTATAAAATATAGCCCTTTTTTCATTTCGAATTTTCAGAATTTTGATATCTCACAGGGAATCTCGGACTATTCAAATGAAGAAACAAGACCGTATGTCTACGTACCATCGACTGCAACGTGTTTTGATTTAAATGTGAATGATGTCTAAAAAATCTGAAAATAGTATAATATCTGTATATTTTGTTTGTAAATATTTTTCGTGTGATCTCTCTCGCAATCTTGCGATAATGACATATTGATATATTTACTAGAAATATCATGTAAAATGTAGGTAATTAATTACTTTTTGTTTTATACACTGTTAAAAAAAAATAGAAATTTGCTTCCGCATTTACACATAATGGAAACAAATATATTAAAAGCACATTAAAAATATTAAATGTTGTTAATGAAAATGAAGTTACAAGTAACCTAAATTTAACATTTAATCTTACATTAAATTTTATGCAAATTACATAAAATTTAATAAAAAATGTACCAAACTTCGTAAAATTTTATGAAACGTATACTAAATTTCATGTACATGTACATAAATATATTTTTTAGTTACAGATTCATAAAATATATTTTTCAGTTACAGATACATAAAATTTAATTTAGTCATAAAATTGAATTTAATTTATGTAACTTAAAAGTAATTAAATAGTAATTAATTACATTAAATTTCATAACATTTTTAACAGTGTATATTACTGATATTAATCGATATATTCGGATGAATATCGATTATTAGTATTATTAGAATTTCGATTTTTTATGTTAATTTTGTTGATATAATTTTGATATATTTGAAATACTTACTCAACATTGAAACGATGCAAATATTTAAACGTTTCTTAAATATAGAAAATACAGGAAATATAACGGATATTTTACATTTAAAATTCGTAAAAATTGAAAGGACAATGTTTTAAAAATTAAAAAACGAACTAATAAAATTTAAAAAAGCAGAAGTTATTAAAAATTTAATTTCTAACATCGATATATTTTAATTTTTAACAAACTTTCAAAATATCTTTAAATTCAATTTTTTAGAGGCAATATAGAAGAAAAAGATTTTTTTATCTTGAAATTATCAATGTGACATTAATCGTCTCAAACTTCATAGAGTCAACGAAAGATGTCACTCGCGATTCTTGAAACAGTTCTAAATAAAAAAAAGGAGTAGAGTATTCAGTGAAACACCTGACTTAAAATCGTTAATGATAGAATTGCGACCAAATTTTTAATAGTATCCATTGTTTCCTATCGACTCGTTCTTTCTCGGGCTACGTTCGGTTTGATATTCACTTGAACGGCAATCTCGCGCCAGTCAGCTCACTTCTGCAACGCTAGTCAAAATGGTGTCGCGCGTCGCACGGCCATTTAATCGGCGTCCCAGAGACGATCGACGTGTTCAATCGGTCCACCGTGAAAGATAATCTCTCCATTGAATTATTCTACCAATTCCACATCGCATCTCATCAACAACGCGACGCGACGCGGTCACGTCGACCGGAAGTCGCGGTATCTTTCCCCCTCCCCTTCTAACCCCTCGTCATCCCCCAGCGAGCGATGTGCTCGCGTTCAGTTTGGTTTCAGTTCCAGTTCCGTTTTCGTCCCTGGTTTTTCTCGTTCATCGTTTTTCGTATTTTTCGTGTTCCGTTTTACTCAAACACTACAAATTTTCATCAGCCGCACGACGTCGCCAACGAATGTCGCCGCGGGATCGCCGGGTCGCGGATTAATCGGTAAGTCCTGGATAGATCTCCGTTAATCGCGAACACGATTCCGGAGCAACTTCGTTGAACGGTTTCGCGTTCGACGTGATCGATTCGCTCAATTTGATATCTCACAGAGATCCCGAACTATTCAAATGAAGAGATTTATATATCAACGAATTTGGATTTAACGTATTTGGATTTAAATGTGAACGATATGTGAAGTCTAAAAATAATATGATACTTGTACATTTTTGTCACTCGTCCAATTTGCTCTTCCTTCGTGCTCCGTTATCCTTATTATCATTACAGAAAACTTCGAATGGGATTGCATGTAAAGTTCAAACCCAAAATGCATTGTAAAAAAAATATGAATGAGCAGATGTGATTTTCAAAAAAAAAACGAGGATAAGTTAATAATTAAATACATTTTATTTATTTATTTTATTTTAAAATAACGCGCTTCTCTCTAAATTTTGTAAGTGTTGTTTTAGTAAATTAAAAAAATTTACATTATATTAATAGAATTTATTAATGTTTTGTTGTTCGACATATGACAAAAAGGATTAGAAGGATCAAAAGTTACGTAGAATTAAGTTAATCGAAATTATCTTTGACTGCTCTCCACTTTAATTCTGATTAATTTAATCAGTAATTAACTTATTAAGTAATTTTTTAATTTAATTTATGAATATGAATAAAAATACTATTTTTTATTGTTTAATATGGAAAAAAAATTAAATCAGGAACAATGAATTGTAAATAAAATTTTCTACAATTTTCAAATATCTGTTTCTACCAATATAATTTAACTTTAATTGTGGTTTACATGATTCCTTATATTTTTTATATATAATTCTTACAATTAGAACTATAGGAAAAGATAAAAAATAAATTAAACTGGAATTAATGCTAATTTACATTCAGTAGAAAATAAATAAATATAAAGATAATATCTTGTGAAATGAACATAAAAGATATTAGGAACAAATGTTGAATATTAGAAATAAAAAAATTAAGAATAGAAATTGAGCGTACACTGAATAATTATGTACAAATTGCAAATAAAAGATGATAAGGCATTTATATGTGCGCAAAGCTTAAAGTTTAATTAATCGCCAATTAATATTCGTTTCCACAAACAAAAATTAATTTCGTTTTAACTTATTTTTCATCCTCTAATTTTGATAACTAAAAAAAGATGAAGAGCAAGTTGGACCAAGATTAAATTTAATCTACATTGGTAGAACTCAATCTAATTTAGTCGAAATTTTTTTCGGACACGCAACATATAATATGTTGTATCCAAATATCAGAATGTCCAGTGTTTTCAGATACCGAATGCGCGAAGACGTCGACGCGGTCTAGTTGAGCTTCTGTGCGACGGAAACCCGACGGAAACGTGACGACACGATTGGCTTTACCCACTCTCGATAAGGTGCGGGCGCAAGTCTCTACGAGTCTCTACGAGGTTCCACGAATTTGGAGTACGCGGCGCTTCGCCACCGGCCGCCATCTTGTAAGAGCTGCCTGCCTCGTAGTGTTTGGAGGTTTACTGCGAGACGGGAAGGCAGCTTCTCTGCCGGAGGCTGGAAGTGCTGCTGAAGTGGTCGGTGCTACGGTCCTTGGCAGTCCCTGGGCGTCCAGGTGACTGTCGCACGAGGCCAGGGTACCATCGAGCCGCCGGGACAGCTGCCAGCAGATCCTCCAGCACGTCCAAATCCGTCGAAAGATGGTGAGTGCCCGCCGTTAACACCCTGGACGGAGAAAGAGAACGAGCGAGCGCCTAGATATTTATCATGAGAAAGAAAGAGAGAGCGCGCGCTCTCTCCCTCTCTCTCTCTCTCTCTCGTCCTCGCTCGCGTCCCTTCGACTCAACATCGCGCAGCGTCGTCGTCGTCGTCGTCGTCGACGGTGGTGAGATCTCGTCAATCACTCGAAAAATTAAACACCGGCGTATCCTTCAATACGCGGAATTCGCGTTTTGATCTTTACAAATTGCAGCGGATCTGAGAGTTTTCGACGATGGTGATATCGACGAGGAGCGACCTGTCGGAGCACCTTGCACATTCAAAAATGTCGTTCGCGCCAAGTATTCTCTCCCTGTCCCCCATTTATCTTCCTCATCACTATCGCTTTCGTTCCCGGAGTATTCTTGGAAAAACGATCTTGACTATTGGTTCGCTCTAATGTAACCATGGAGCGAGCACGTCGTGCGTGTTTCTTCCCGGTATGCCGCGACTTCCGGAATTGTCGAAAGGGATGAAAGGGGAAGGCGAGGAGAGAGCGCCGATAGGGTCCTCGACTCGTCGCGAGCCTCACGACGAGACTCAGAATTTCAAAGCGTTGATTTTTAGAGTCTCTGATCACTCTAGTCACGTATTGTGAAATTATTCGGAATGAATTGCGATCAGAATTATTCAATTGTTCTTTGGATTTCTAGGAAAAAAGGAATAATTCCGATGAGAATCTATTTCCGTGAACTTATTCCATGATAGGCAGGATTGAAGGTAAAAAATTCTTTTGAAATTCAATTTTTATTCTCTAGAGTGAGATTCCACTCCAAAGAGACTAAATCTGCCGAGCACGAATTGTGTCACCGATCTCATTGTCGCGGATGTAAACACGTTGGAGATTCATTCTCGCAGCATGAAAAATTGGAGTACGATCTCAGGTGAGATCACCGCTACTTGTTCTCTCTCACTCGCTCTGCGTTCCTCTCGCTCTTCCCGCTCGCTCCACGCGGATTCGAGACGACGCACGACGTACGTGCTGCTCGCTTGTTTGGTCGGTTGCTTGCTTGTTTGTTTGCATTTTGGCTGTCATCGCTCGCCATCGTCACGAGCAGTTACAAGAGAGAGGGAATGAGATAGAACGAGAGAAAGGAAAGAGAAAAATGAAGAAAAAAGTGAGAAAGTTGAAAGAGGGGTGCGGTAGTGTCAGGTCCACTCGACACCTTTCCTCTCCTCAGCTTCTCGAGTTCTCACGTGCGTCGCGAACCCGTCGCATGCTTCCTCGTGAAATTCACGTTAACTGGAACGTCGACATGTCGCCACCGCCGCAGCAGCCGCCTCTGGCCGCTAGTCGATACTTCGCGTAGCTTCGCTCTCGGCTCTCCTCGTCCCGGCGCCGCGCCGACCGGATGCCGATCACGCAGCTGCGCACGTCACGCCAAATCTCAGCGAGATCTGTCATTCGCAAGATCAACACTGTCGTTGTAGCAGGAGACTAGAAATGTACTAGAAGACTAGAAATCAGGGAAATATATATGTAGGAGAAAGTGGAAACGCTTAGGGAAATCGGGGAAAATTAAAATTCTTTGCTTTAAAAAAGTTGAATTCCCACATTACACCCTCCCTTAGCAGTTTTGAAATATTACTAACTTAACAATTAAACGCAAACAGCAATATTAGTTTACATTGCTATGTTAAATTGCTCTTTTAATAAAATATTTGATAGTTTCTAAATCAGGACAAAAATATAGAAAATTTTAAAGTATTATTGAAAACATCAGGGAAAATCATGAAATTTTGTCTGAAAGGGGAAAAGTTTTTATGAAATTTAAGACTGAGGAATTTGTGA